CCAAAGGAAATTCAGAGCAGCTGAATTCCTTAAATTTTCCACCTTCTATTCATCCTGAACTGTTTTTTTGTTTGGTCCTGGGAATTCAAGTATTTCTGTTTTCCTCGCCGAGGGGATGGGCTGATGTAACAGGAGCTTTTCAATCATGTTTTATTATCTGCTGATGCCCGACAGCTTGTTTCATAATGGATGCTTTAGAGGTGTGATGCTTTCTTTCATTTCAAACTCCTGTTCCACCATCGAGAATATCAGGACCTGTGCTCGCAGATCCAGGAGAATTGGGAAAAAGATTGTGGCTACCGACAGGTCAGTTTTCAAGTTTGTTTGAAAATTTTATCGCGAGAGTTGCCCAGAATGCTGGGCAGCTGGTACTGTTTGCTCTGTGTGCACGGATAAGTGCTGCCTCTGAGAAAAATATATGGGCCAAAGTGTGTGTGTGTGTTTTTTTTTTTTGCAAAAAAAAAAGAACGTACAGATTGACCTCTGAAATAGCGGTGCCTGCGAATATTGGAGATCATAAATGTCCAGAGTGTTCAGCACAGATGCGCTAGCGTTCGATCCAGTTAGGCTGCGGCTTCCTCCTGTGTACTCTTGCTGTCGCCAGCATTGCTTGTTATAGGATGGGTATTATTGGCATTTGGGAAACTTCATTTTTCTGCTTTTTTTTTTCTAAAATCTCCTGTAAACAGTTTTTTGCACCATCAGGCTGTTAGCTCTTCACTTTTCGCCGATCAAGCTGAAAAATACCCTCGGTGCTGTTCAAGCTTTAGTGGAAGAAAAAAATGTGACATATCTTCTTCCCATGCTAGTGGCAACCGGGGTTTATCGGCTTGATCATCTGCCCACCTGGCTGAAACTCAGTGAGATGACTGGATCGGAATTTATGGAAGGAATCACATACTTAGACGTACTGTATCGCATCCAGAATCCCACCCATTTGAAGTTTTTGAGTTTGAAAAGATACTAGTTAAGGAGTAGGAAGGAGATTTCTTTCAGATGCAGCACTCACTTTACGCAGCTTCTCGATAGATAGATCACACGCCCCGACTTCCCAAATTGCCCTGCATAGCTTGCTTGTATAGGGCACGACTTCTAGTTTCAGCAAATGTCATTTGAGCGATGAATTAGAGCGACAAAATTTCTTGCTTATTCGATTTGTG